GAAAGAATGGTGCTGAGTGATTATTTACCAGCAATGGCATGTTTTGTTTGACCATCTCTTCTAGTACTGGTAAGCATTTTCCAAACAGGTCCGTGACACCATCTTGAGAGTTGGTTGTGGCCCCAGCAGGGTACAGCTTCACCGCATAAACCACACCACTTTCCCCTAAAAATTGAAAACCAAAACTCAGAAGATAAAACAAAAGTAAAACCAACAATCATGAGGTCTCGAGGTACTTTCAACAATAACCAAATACTTGTATGTGCAACATAAGATTAGTACTTTATCCCGACGTCTGATGAGCAAAATAATAGCGTGGCTTAAGAGCCCATACACATAAACTGATCAGAGTAGCAAGTAGAAGAAACTCACTTCGACTATTTGCAACATGATGGAACAAACAATGGCACATGTACTTACTGGCAAGCTTGATCTCATCAGGCTGGGTTTTGTCAGTCAGATAAAGTGTCATAAGTGGATCAAAGCTACTCCCATGTGGCAAAGCTTTCATGATAGATTCCCGGTAAGTAATGGCAGCTGCAGTGGTTGTAACTGGAGGCTTAAGATTCGGCATCACAATAGCTCTCCTAAAATTACTCGCACTACACACATTTACACAAAGACCAATTTACCATCATGCACAACACAATCATCAATAGAAAACACCATAAACCACCAAAGCAAAAGATGTAATGTGAAAAGACCTGTGGGGAACAACAGCTTGAAGAAGATCACCGTCTCGGAGATGAAGATGCCAATCATCAGGTTGAGTGATTGTGAGTTCCATTCTTACAGCTCTCGGCTTCACTTTCTTACAAGATCTGTCAAACTTGAGTTTCTGAGATCCAAATCCCTAAATACACAGGAATAAAAGCATCTATCACAAGACTTTTACAGACAACAATGTGCATCTGGATTAAATAAATTTAAAATTGGGTTGACTAATTTGGGGTAAAAGAAAACAAGACTCAAGAGTGGAGAAGACACAGTGCATACACTACAAGGAGAAACCAAAGTCTTTAACATGACAAGGCTTTGCAAGATTCACACCTGTTCAAAAGAAGAGACTTTAGAATTAGAAACAAGAGTCAGCCATTTCCACTATAAACCCGTAAAATCTAAAGAGCATGATCGGGAGTTTTCTTCACTGGAGAGAGATAAAGAACCTGTAGTGAAGAGAGACGACGAGATTGGGAGCGAATCAATCTTCCAGAGAAACGGAACTTTTCTCTTGATCTTCGTATTATTACCTTACGGATTCGCCTCCTCCGTCTTCTTCGGCTCTGAATGGGAACGTGTTTCGGAAGCGGTGCGGTGATGCTAACCGCAGGTCACCGCCGAATGGCAAGTCGATTAGGGTGTGGTGTGATTCAGATGTAGTTGGGCAGCGATTAGTTCCCTTTGTTTTACTCTTAACATAAATCGCTCCACAAACGGCTTTAAGACCTGCGATTTGCACACCAAATGTTCGATGAAATGTCTCAATGAGCTTTAAAGTTAATAAATGGCAACTGATTTTGTCTATATGTTCTTAGGGTTCGAATGTTGACAGCGGTTAGAGCGGTGCGGGACAAGCGGTTTAGGG